CATCCTGGCCCTACATAGTTCACTATTTGCATCACTTACCAAAATATTACATGTGGTCATATATGCTTGGAAAGTGGAGATGCCATAGAACGTCAAAAAAGTAAACATTGCTGGAGACACATTGCCGTTTTGGAGAAGACATCGCGTTTGCTAGCGAAGAGATTTGTTGTGGCAAATGAACTTGGGCTGGGAATTGCCAGGAACCTCACGATAAGATATATGCATTGCGAGTCTCATGATTCTATACGTATTGCGATTCGATACTGTGATTTTATTGCGCACCATATGTCTGTTGCAGAGGGATCAGAAAGCCATGAGAACGAGTTTTGATCAGTCATGGAAATAAAAGTGCTGAAAACAAATTGGCTCCCAATGTGAAAAGATTGAGAACAAGCTATGAAGGAACAATAATGGTGTTTTGGTGCAGGTACAGCCAACTAGCGCTAAAATATTGCGATATTGTCAATACAGTATATCGTAAAGTATCACTATGTAACTCGATTTCTTTCACCCCAATCCCTCAAATTAACGGTAAATAACTGAATTGTTTGCCCCACATTTAGCTAAGATGATTAGCTAGCCAGCTAAAATGTTTTATTTAGTTAGCAGTCGCATCTACAATAGTTTACTGTCAATAACATGTCTCCAAAAATGACGTGGTGTCTCCAATTGTGTTGACATTTGACAATTGCGATGCGCATCCATGAGTATCCACTTTCTGTAGCTCAGCTGGTAGAGCACGGCGCTTGTAACGCCAAGGTAGTGGGTTCGATCCCCGGGACCACCCATACACAAAAATGTATGCACGCATGACTGTAAGTCGCTTTGGATAAAAGCGTCTGCTAAATGGCATATTATTATTATTATTATTATTATTATTATCTGAAGAGAGCCCCGAAACATTGTGTGCAGACATTTTATGCAATAAATGAAGTAGGTTGAATCTAGTAGTTCTGATCTTCTGATTGGTCCTGATGAGTTGGGCGAGGTCCCCTCCAGGCTACTGTCACTGTTGCATTGGCTCTGAGTCGGGTTCTCTGTCTTCAAATGTTCAGCCTAAGAGAGGGGATTTTTGTGTGTGTGTGTGTGTGTGTGTGTTTAACAGTGATGATGTGTGTGTGTGTGTGTGTGTGTGTGTGTGTGTGTGTTTAACAGTGATGATGTGTGTGTGTGTGTGTTTGTGTGTGTGTGTGTGTGTGTCCTCAGAGCAAGAACTCGTGAGTTGGAAGAACTGAGAGGCCTATGGCGTGGGTGTTGTCCTTGGCCACCTGCTGACAAGGCTGACAAGATAGGACCCTTTTGTCCATTGTTATTGGATAGGAACAGAACTTATAACCAGCTCCTGACCTAAATAGATCTTAGCACAACATTTTACTCAACATATCATATTCCATATTCACTATAACAAATATATTTACTACGACATTAGCAAGAACCGCCACATCCTCAGCCGGCTAATCCAGTGTGTGAAGTTTTGCGGAGTGTTTGAGTTAGCTTTGCGAGGCAAAGATGAAACTGAGGGCTCCACCAACCCTGGTAAGCCAACACTTTTGAGATCAGTCAATAAATGCTTCTGGTATTGACTTATATGCTGCCCCTGTCTTCATGTTGTTGCTGGACATATCTTTTTTTAAATGTGTGTAGGTCACCTAAATCATCAGAAAAATTGCCCCCCCTGAGAATTTTTTCAGGAGCCGCCACTGGTACTGTAGTGTACAACCAAAGATTTCAAGACTAAAGGCTGGTTCATACTACTTCTATCGACATGTCTGTATACAGTTGTCGCATTGACATCATGAACATTCTATTGTCGTCCGACATTAAACTTGTCATTGTCGTTATGAAAAAGTATAAACACAAAAATGACAGGCGACATGATATCAGCAGCCTGGGGGTCCAAAATAGCATTAATGGTGCAATTTAACACCAATATACCCATCCGTTTAAAAATGAATTTAGTATATTTCAATCAACTTAAAGCAACTTTCTAAACAATGTTTTTGGTTCTTTTGAGCTTGTTAGAAGGTGTAAACGGTACAGTCAAATGGTTACTTGCATAGTGGAGTCTTTTGTTTAAACATGTAGCTAGCTAGCTAAACAATTACCCATAATCCCAACTCATAATGTTACTACCCTGCATGAATCTACAGGTAGCTAAAGCTAACCAACTAGCTAGGTTCAATGTTAGCTAGCTAACATTAGGCTATAACTAGCAATGCAAATGGCTCTGAGATACGAATAACATTACTACAGAGATCATACACGTAACATTAGCTAGCGAGCCAGCCAGCTAACATTAGCTAGCTAGCTAGCTAACAGTACTCTTTAACTTGCAAAGAAAACTACTTTCTGACAAAATTAGAAACTTATAATATCTGAAAATGTAGCTAGCTAGGCTCTCTTACCCGTATACATGGATGAACGCTTTTCCCTCTCTGTCACGGATGCCATGGTTTCCCTTAGTTTGAAGATGTAATCCAGACAGGTGTTTTATACAACAGCCTTCTGTGTTCTCTTTTCAACTCCCTCCGCATTTGCAATCAAATGCCTGCATTTTCTCCATCTCCTTAGCTATCATTCTCTGCTTTCACCGGGCATTCCACTGATTTCAAAACTCGGTCCTCCAGAAAGTAGAGAGCCTTAGCAACATTTGTGCAGTTCTTCATGATATCTTTCAAAAAAGCCGCTTTAGAAAGGATTACCTACACATACTAAGCAGCTCCTGTTATAGACAGAAGCTTGCTACATGGCAGACCAATCCAAACTCTCTTGGCATGTCCAGCCCATCCATTATCTCAGACAATAATAGCTAGCGGGAAGGTTCCTGTCTTTTTCCATGGATAAACCAACTATGTTCGTAATTTAACAATTTTATTCGTATTTACAGATGGCATACAAGTTTGTTTTTAAGGCACATGAAAGTTCACATGTTCCAGAAGGCATTTCTGCCAAAAAACGCATTTTGATTTAAAAAAAAGAAGTTAAAATGCCTCTCCTGCGAAGTAATGACGTGTGACATACGCCTAGTTTCCTGAAACAAGTCACATATTACTAACAGTGGGCCTGCATGGAAAGAGGGATGGAGAGAGAGAAATGGTTTGAGGTCATTCTCATTTATTGTAACTGCACAAAAACTGCCAGAGTAAAAGTTATCAAATCTTTTTTTCAATTAGACTATCTCAGAGAGTTTGCATTTAGCGGTTTACAGTATTGGCTATTATTTGGTTCAGAGCCTGACCCCTCTTGGCTCCCCTTCCTCAATCACTGACCTCTTTCCTGTCTGTTCTCACCCTACCTCTCCACCCCTCTTCTGCCACTCAGTCATGCTGGTCTTCCAAGTCCTCCTCCTCAACTAAACCCTGGCATCCTTGACTTCACTACAATGTTCTTAGTTAAACCAGAGACGGTATAGAAAACAAAACCACATTGGCTTTGGTTAAACCACATGGTTAAACGTTAGCTAGCTAGCTAATGTTAGTTCAAAGACAGTACAAAAACTCTGTGGTTAGTTAGCTAGCTAACGTTAGCTAGTTAGCTTTCTAGTGAGCTGACGTTAACCTAGATTGCTCCATCAATAGCGGCTTTAATAGCAGAATTCCAAATAACTACCTTCTTCAATTTCAATATTGAAAATCATAGTTGATTAGCTAGCCAGTTGGTTAGCTAGTTTCTCTACTAAAAAATTATAGAATTTAGGCTTACTTCTTTATTGTAAGCCATCGTTCACCTTTCACTGCCCCCTCTCATCTCTATGGTCAGAAATTCGGTTAGAGAGCAGTGAAGCTGTGATTGGTCCAAAAACCTGACCAATTGCGTTTCAGTAGACCGCTATAGGCTATGTTCTTTGGCTAGAATTTCCCCCTATTATAAAATTATAGTAAGCAGTTGCGAGAGCAAAATTGATTTTGGAGAGCAAACTGGTAAATTGGTGTGAGAGGGAGAAAATACATCCGTGTGTGGACGTGGAGTATTTGTGAGTGTGCAGTAATTTCTGGGTCTTAAGAATTTCTTCAGGCGAACAAAAATCTCTGCTCTCATTAATTTATTGTGTGTGGCAATGCAGTTCTGCTCACTCAAAGTCACACATATTCTCTCCCTGTGCTTTGGCTCCAACAATAAGTACCTTGGTCTTGTCTTGATTTAGCTGGAGGAAGTTGTGAGCAATCCAAGTATTTCAATCACAAATACGATCTAATAATTTATACTTGGAGCTAAAATCCTCTGGTGACACAGAAATGTAAAGTTGTGTATCGTCTGCATAGCAGTGAAAATCAATGCTGTACTTTCTGATAAAGCTGCCAAGGCGTAACATATATAAACTGAACAGTACCAGACCCAAAATCGAACCTTGTGGAATGCCACATGTGATATGCATTTTTTCTGAGTTATGTTCACCAAGGGTGACAAAATCTCAACCAGTTAAATAGGTCCTAAACCAATTTAGAACTGGACCAGAGAGGCCAACCCACCGTTCCAGTCTGTCCAGAAGGACATCATGGTCAACAGTTTCGAATACAGTTTTAAATACAAGAGTACAAGGACAGAGAGCTGTTTGGCATCTGTGTTGGCTCTAAAATCATTTCCCACTTATTTTTTTGTTTACCAGTCATAGTCAGTGGTGCAACTTTGGCTTTAGAAGTGGGGGGGGGGGCATACATTATATATATATTTTTTTATCCAGTCGGATAAACACTCTAAACAGCCTACCCGACCACTCGGAGGTGTCCGCATGGTCCTAAAGCACATTGTTGCCTCGTTTTGTATCACATTCCAATGATAAAACTGGGAGGGTGACAAAAATGCGATTTCAGAATGTGGGGTGGACATGTCCCCCCGTCCCCAGTGAAAGATGCGCCCCTGCTCATAGTAATATATTCAGTGCAATAAACAGGTCTGGTTATCATAATAACATATGACATAATCCTCTTCTTCACCATGTCTCAAAGAGTTTTACATCGTCAACATGTAACTCATCTCTGATTGTCTTCGTTTCCCCAGGGACCATCACTAACCCGGGCCGCAGCACTCCATCCAGGTGCTGGTGTATGTGCAGGCGAAAAAACAGATAGGAATATTTCCACATACAGATGTACATAATGTTCATGGGATTAAGGGGCGGCAGGTAGCTTAGTGGTTAAGAGCGTTGTGCCAGTAACCGAGCCGACTAGGTGAAAAATCTGTCGATGTGCCCTTGAGCAAGGCACTTAACCCTAATTGCTCCTGTAAGTCGCTCTGGATAAGAGCGTCTGCTAAATGACTTAAATGTAAAATGTAAATGTAAATTAACAACGTATTCAATGATCTGATTCTATATTATTATGGTGTTTTCATAATTAGCGAGGGACAGAAGTAGAGGGGAGGGGCACAGTATAGGCAGGTCGGCCACCAGGCAGGCAGAGTCGGGCCTACTGCACTGTTCTATCTATCGGCAATCAAAAGCTGTATCTCGTAATGGAATGTTGCATCTCACAATTTCTTGCCTTGCAATGTCTTGCAACTTCAGTAAAATGTGGCCTGTCATTAATGAATAGGCTAGGATATTGAGATGATGCAACACTTCGCTCTCACATAGTCACACACAGTATCTGCACATGTGCACGGGCTCTCTTCATACTGTTCACAGCGTGGTAGACAGGGCACCAAAACAGCGGAGAAGTTGAGCCTTGCGCTTCAACGCTCTTAGTTGTTGCAGAAATTGACCCACTATGCTGTTTACTTTCTGCATCTATGAAAAAAAAAAACATTGTTTTTCGGTTAGGGATTTTTCTTAACGTTAAGGATCCCAATTTAGTTTAAACATTTTAACAATTAAACGTTCACACCCCTATTGCACATCCTGCAAACCACCAGCAGAGGGCGACCAATTTGAATCCATTTTCACATTCACTATGGTAATGCTTATTTATTTATTTTTATTTTACCTTTATTTAACTAGGCAAGTCAGTTAAGAATAAATTCTTATTTACAATGACGGCCTACACCGGCCAAACCCGGGCCAATTGTGTGCCGCCCTATGTGACTCCCAATCATGGCCGGTTGTGATATAGGAATCGAACCAGGGGGTCTGTAGTGACGCTTCAAGCACTGAGATGCAGTGCCTTAGACCACTGCGCCACTCGGAAATGGGATCATAACTCTAAAACTAGTAGAGATCCCACTCTGGAACTTTGATATGCCCGTAGAGTATATTATGTTAACCAATATATTGACAAATGTGCCAAATTAAGAATGGTATATTTTCAATATTCATGTTTATATTCTTCAATATTCATAAATTAATGTAAGACATTTTCTGTTGAAATCAAAATACTACTCATTTTACAGAGCAATCGGTAAAGCTTCATATGACACATTTTTGTAGCACATACAGATTAAACATTATGATGTCTAAAATCAGGCCTGGGTAACTGAAATGAATTATTTCTCAATTATGCTTTAAGATACAAACGTCAAATATATTAGGCAGGACAAACCTGTTTTGGTGATTTATGGTTTATCATTAAAATAAATAAATCACAGCACATTTTTAGACTAATTCAGCAGTTTTTACCTGATTAAGTACAATACCATTGGAAATGTATGTTGGAAGTTATATTTATATTCCTAAAACCTAAGTTGAAAATGATGCTGTTGCTGCTTCCTGTTGACAAGACATATTGATAAATAGCCCCATGTTAAAACACAGTTTTAAAGTGTCCAAATCAATAAACAATATGCAGAAAGAGTTTGTGCTATATTGAAAACCTAAACATCAAAATTACTAGTTTTTTTTTTTTAAACGAGCACCTTATAAACTGGACACTAAAAATCATTTTTGTTTTTACAAAAGGTTGAAACTACCACAACAAATAAACAAATAAATTACATCACTGGTTAGAGGACAACCCGCAGAACACAGTCAGCTACATTTTAAAATGTTGCATTTTGATACGGGGTCACGAAAACAGAAAGAGAAGCGCAACACTGTTTTGTCAATCAATCCTATCGATTATCACCTAGAAATCAATTGTGCGAGAGGGCGGATATGAGCTTGCACGTCCTGTTAAAACTAACACAGCAAAAAAAAAAAAAAACACTGATTCTGGGAATAATTTGTACATCATTGGTTAGAGGATAATTTTTGGAAGACAGCTAGCTACATTTTGAAGTGTTGCGTTTTGAGTTGTGGGTTGCCAACCGGGTAAGTGTAACGCAACACTTTTTTTGTTCATCACTCCCATTGATATCACTCTGAAATCAATAGAACAGGCAAACGTTTGGGGTGTAGTGCTGTTTAAACTAACACTATTCAAAGGCCACACGGAAACTTGAAGTAACCTATACATGTTTGGTTAGATGAGAATTTGTAGAAGGCTTCTATTTATATTTTGGAATGGAGGATGTTGATTTCGGGAGGCTGCCGTCACTGAAAAGGGAACAAACCACTTTTTCTGTTAGTTAATTTACGAATCACGACTCGCCATAGGATATCAACCGTGACAACGGTTGGCTGTTATTTAAGGGATAGTTTATTGGTGTGTGGCCAGCGGGTTTTATAAAGAGACTGCCCTGAATTATCCGTGCCATTTGAGAAAGAAAATGATATCTGCATTCTATATCCTGCGACCCCCAGTGCGTATAACAAAACCAACAGTAGAAAACCAAAGATATTCATCTGTTTTAAGCAATCAATCTTGTGTCACCATGTTGACTGTAAACTTTTATACTAACATCACCAATCTGAGGTAAAAAGGATGTGTAATTCGCCTCATTTCGATGTGGTCAAAACGTCAGCTTGTGTAATGTACACTGAACAAAAATATATACGCAACATGTAAAGTGTTGTCCCATGTTTCATGAGCTGAAATTAAAGATCTCTGAAATGTTCCATACACACAAAAAGCTTATTTCTCTCAAATTTGGTTCCCAAATTTGTTTACATCCCTGTTAGTGAGCATTTCTCCTTTGCCAAGATAATCCATCCACCTGACAGGTGTGGCATATCAAGAAGCTGATTCAACAGCATGATAATTACACAGCTGCACCTTGTGCTGGGGACAATAAAAGGCCACTCTAAAATGTGCAGTTTTGTCACACAACACAATGCCACAGATGTCTCAAGTTTTGATGGATTGTGCAATTGGCATGCCGGCTGCAGGAATGTCCACCAGAGCTGTTGCCAGAGAATGTAATGTTAATTTCTCTACCATAAGCCGCCTCCAATGTCGTTTTAGAGAATTTGGCAGTACGTCCAACTGGCCTCATAACCGCAGACCACGTGTATGGCGTCGTGTTGGGGCGAGCGCTTTGCTGATGTCAAGGTTGTGAACAGAGTGCCCCATGGTGGCAGTGGGTTTATGGTATGGGCAGGCATAGCCTACGGACAACAGACACAATTGCATTTTATCGATGGCAATTTGAATGCACAGTGATACCGTGACGAGATCCTGAGGCCCATTGTCATGCCATTCATCCGCCGCCATCACCTCATGTTTCAGCATGATAATGCATGGCCCCATGTCGGAAGGATCTGTACACAATTCCTGGAAGCTGAAAATGTCTGTTCTTCCATGGCCTGCATACTCACCAGACATGTCACTCATTGAGCATGTTTGAGATGCTCTGGATTGACTTGTACGACGGCGTGTTCCAGCAACTTCACACAGTCATTGAAGAGGAGTGGGACAACATTCCGCAGGCCACAATCAACTCTATGCGAAGGAGATGTTGCGCTGCATGAGGCAAATGGTGGTCACACCAGATACTGACTGGTTTTCTGATCCACGCCCCTACCTTTTTTTAAGGTACAGTGGGGGGAAAAAAGTATTTAGTCAGCCACCAATTGTGCAAGTTCTCCCACTTAAAAAGATGAGAGGCCTGTAATTTTCATCATAGGTACACGTCAACTATGACAGACAAAATGAGAAAAAAACATCCAGAAAATCACATTGTAGGATTTTTAATGAATTTATTTGCAAATTATGGTGGAAAATAAGTATTTGATCAATAACAAAAGTTTCTCAATACTTTGTTATATACCCTTTGTTGGCAATGACACAGGTCAAACGTTTTCTGTAAGTCTTCACAAGGTTTTCACACACTGTAGCTGGTATTTTGGCCCATTCCTCCATGCAGATCTCCTCTAGAGCAGTGATGTTTTGGGGCTGTCGCTGGGCAACACGGACTTTCAACTCCCTCCAAAGATTTTCTATGGGGTTGAGATCTGGAGACTGGCTAGGCCACTCCAGGACCTTGAAATGCTTCTTACGAAGCCACTCCTTCGTTGCCCGGGCGGTGTGTTTGGGATCATTGTCATGCTGAAAGACCCAGCCACGTTTCATCTTCAATGCCCTTGCTGATGGAAGGAGGTTTTCACTCAAAATCTCACGATACATGGCCCCATTCATTATTTCCTTTACACGGATCAGTCGTCCTGGTCCCTTTGCAGAAAACAGCCCCAAAGCATGATGTTTCCACCCCCATGCTTCACAGTAGGTATGGTGTTCTTTGGATGCAACTCAGCATTATTTGTCCTCCAAACACGACGAGTTGAGTTTTTACCAAAAAGTTATATTTTGATTTCATCTGACCATATGACATTCTCCCAATCCTCTTCTGGATCATCCAAATGCACTCTAGCAAACTTCAGACGGGCCTGGACATGTACTGGCTTAAGCAGGGGGACATGTCTGGCACTGCAGGATTTGAGTCCCTGGCGGCGTAGTGTGTTACTGATGGTAGGCTTTGTTACTTTGGTCCCAGCTCTCTGCAGGTCATTCACTAGGTCCCCCCGTGTGGTTCTGGGATTTTTGCTCACCGTTCTTGTGATCATTTTGACCCCACGGGGTGAGATCTTGCGTGGAGCCCCAGATCGAGGGAGATTATCAGTGGTCTTGTATGTCTTCCATTTCCTAATAATTGCTCCCACAGTTGATTTCTTCAAACCAAGCTGCTTACCTATTGCAGATTCAGTTTTCCCAGCCTGGTGCAGGTCTACAATTTTGTTTCTGGTGTCCTTTGACAGCTCTTTGGTCTTGGCCATAGTGGAGTTTGGAGTGTAACTGTTTGAGGTTGTGGACAGGTGTCTTTTATACTGATAACAAGTTCAAACAGGTGCCATTAATACAGGTAATGAGTGGAGGACAGAGGAGCCTCTTAAAGAAGAAGTTACAGGTCTGTGAGAGCCAGAAATCTTGCTTGTTTGTAGGTGACCAAATACTTATTTTCCACCATAATTTGCAAATAAATTCATTAAAAATCCTACAATGTGATTTTCTGGATATTTTTTTCTCAATTTGTCTGTCATAGTTGACGTGTACCTATGATGAAAATTACAGGCCTCTCTCATCTTTTTAAGTGGGAGAACTTGCACAATTGGTGGCTGACTAAATACTTTTTTCCCCCACTGTATCTGTGACCAACCGATGCATACAGTGCCTTGCAAAAGTATTCCTATTTTGTTGCATTACAACCTGTAATTTAAATTGATTTTTATTTGGATTTCATGTAATGGACATACACAAAATAGTCCAAATTGGTGAAGTGAAATGAAAAAATTACTTGTTTCAAAACATTCTAAAAAATAAATAACAGAAAAGTGTTGCGTGCATATGTATTCACCCCCTTTGCTATGAAGCCCCTAAATAAGATCTGGTGCAACCAATTACCTTCAGAAGTCGCATAATTAGTTAGATTGCACACAGGTGGACTTTATTTAAGTGTCACGTGATCTCAGTATATATATATATATATATATATATATATATATACACCTGTTCTGAAAGGCCCCAGATTCTGCAACAGCACTAAGCAAGGGGCACCACCAAGTAAGCGGCACCATGAAGACCAAGGAGCTCTCCAAACAGGTCAGGGACAAAGTTGTGGAAAAAATATCCAACACTTTGAACATCCCACGGAGCACCATTTAAATCCATTATTAAAAAATAGAACAAATATGGCACCACAACAAACCTGCCAAGAGAGGGCCGCCCACCAAAACTCACGGACCAGGCAAGGAGGGCATTCATCAGAGAGGCAACAAAGAGACCAAAGATAACCCTGAAAGAGCTGCAAAGCTCCACAGTGGAGATTGGAGTATCTGTCCATAGGCCCACTTTAAGCTGTACACTCCACAGAGCTGGGCTTTACGGAAGAGTGGCCAGAAAAAAGCCATTGCTTAAAGAAAAAAATAAGCTAAAATGTTTGGTGTTCGCCAAAAGCCATGTGGGAGACTCCCCAAACATATGGAAGAAGGTACTCTGGTCAGATGAGACTAAAATTGAGCTTTTTGGCCATTAAGGAAAACGCTGTGTCTGGCACAAACCGAACACCTCATCACCCCGAGAACACCATCCCCACAATAAAGCATGGTGGTGGCAGCATCATGCTGTGGGGATGTTTTTCATCGGCAGAGACTGGGAAACTAGTCAGAATTGAAGGAATGATGGATGGCGCTAAATACAGGGAAATTCTTGAGGGAAACCTGTTTCAGTCTTCCAGAGATTTGAGACTGGGATGGAGGTTCACCTTCCAGCAGGACAATGACCCTAAGCATACTGCTAAAGCAACACTCGAGTGGTTTAATGGGAAACATTTACATTTCTTGGAATGGCCTAGTCAAAGCCCAGACCTCAATCAACTTGAGAATCTGTGGTATGACTTAAAGATTGCTGTATACCAGCGGAACCCATCCAACTTGAAGGAGCTGGAGCAGTTCTGCCTTGAGGAATGGGCAAAAATCCCAGTGGCTAGATGTGCCAAGCTTATAGAGACATACCCCAAGAGACTTTCAGCTGTAATTGCTGCAAAAGGTGGCTCTACAAAGTTTTCAAATTTTTTATCTTATTTCTTGTTTGTTTCACCCCAAAAAATAGTTTGCATCTTCAAGGTAGTAGGCATGTTGTGTAAATGAAATTATACAAACCCCCCAAAAATCAATTTTAATTCCAGGTTGTAAGGCAACAAAATAGGAAAAATGCCAAGGGGGGGGGGGGGGTGAATACCTTCGCAAGCCACTGTATCTGTATTCCCAGTCATGTAAAATCCATAGATTAGAACCCAATTAATTTATTTAACTTGACTGATTTCCTTATATGAACTGTAACTCAGTAAAATCTTTGAAATTGTTGCATGTTGCGTTTATAATTTTAGTAGTATAAAGTAACACATACTGTCCACATCATGGAAAGTAGCGTTGTATACATTAATTAGATATGGCAAAATAATTCAAATGAAGCTAACTCACAGATTTTTCAATAATAAAAAAATATATATATATATATGCCATTTAGAAGACGCTTTTATCCAAAGCGACTTACAGTCGTGTGCATACATTTTTACGCATGGGTGGTCCTGGGGATCGAACCCACTACCCTGGCGTTACAAGCGCCATGCTCTACCAATTGAGCTACAGAGGACCACAATAATCACATTTCTTACTAGTTTAACCATTTAGAGATTAAAAGAAGGCTCTTATGCACAACTTAACCTGGCGATCTAGAAAGAGCTCCCATAGTGACTGCATCAGCCCATTTATTTGACTTCTCTAAATATACACTTCCCTCAGAACAGCCTCAATTGGTCGGGGCATGGACTAGAAGGTGTCGAAAGCGTTCCACAGGGATGCTGGCCCATGTTGACTCCAATTCTTCCCACAGTTGTGAAGTTGGCTGGATGTCCATTGGGTGGTGGACCATTCTTGATACACACGGGAAACTGTTGAGTGTGAAAAACCCAGCAGCCTTGCAGTTCTTGACACACTCAAACCGGTGCACCTGGCACCTACTACCATACCCCGTTCAAAGGCACTTAAATATTTTGTCTTGCCCATTCACCCTCTGAATGGCACACATACACAATCCATGTCTCAATTGTCTCAAGGTTTAAAAATCCTTCTTTAACCTGTCGCCTTCCCTTTATATACACTGATTGAAATGGGTTTAACAAGTGCTGTTAATAAAGGAGCATAGATTTATCCTGGAATCACCTGGTCAGTCTTTGTCATGGAAAGAACACTCAGTGTATGTCAACAATCCTTCCTCCAAAGGACCCCTCTATGGATTGCATTTAGTGAAAATACAAAACATCATGGTCCTGTTTTGTTCTAGTTTCGTGAGGAATCACCCATATAGGCCTACATGCCCCCTGAATATACAGTACATTGGCAGTTGACATTGTGAAACATTCTGTCATCTCCCTCCCTGGCAGTTGGATCCTGTTGCTGTCCACGGGGGTGGGAGTGCTGTTTGTGTTCGACCCGCTGGGCAGCCGCCGTCCTGGACCTCAGTCCCAGGAGCAGCTGGGGGTGAGGGACCTGGAGAGCAGTGAGGGCTCCCAGCTCCTGTCCACCACCCGCTCCGTGGCTGTCAGGGTGTGGGAGAGCAGGCTGAGGCTCCTCTGTTGCTGCCTGCCTCAGGATGAGAGCCACAGAGTTGCCTTCTCCAGCAGAGCTCAGCTAGTCAGCGGATTATTCTCGGTGAGTAAGGGAAACAGGGTGTGTGTGTTATAGGATACAGACCTGGTGCCCAGTGACATCGCAGCGGGTCTGGCTCTGCTACACCAGGAGCAGGATAAGAGGGAGCAGTGTAGAGATCCAGATGAAGTCCTGCCTCACAGCCCCTCATCACCTATCGTAAGTACTGGAGTCAGTCAATTAGTCTGTCAATCCGTCCAAAAATAATCAGTGAGTCAGTCAATTAATCAATTACAATTTGTGTGTGTGCTCTGCAGGCGGAGGAACTTGAGGCAGAGCTGGAGAAGGCAGCCGACTGTATGCAATTTGCTATAGCAGCGTATGGCTGGCCCATGTATGTCTACTCCAACCCTCTCACTGGAGCCTGCAAACTCAGCGGGGACTGGTAAGACTGTTACACCTCTAATTTAACGTGCTCATCCTTCTTGATTTTTGAGCCGGGGTGTGAAAGTAATTTGGCCTCAACATTTGTTAACAGCAATATCAAGAGGAGTGGACATCAGTGTATTAAACAACAACTACATAAACAAAAACACAAGCATACCTACGTATGTACTATAAATACTTATATGCCCATCTACTGTGTGTGTTTCAGCTGTAAGACCCAGTCTGCTGAGTATGACATTGTCGGAGGAGACAATATGGGCTGCCATTTCTCCTCCATCCTCCACAACACTGGCCTACAGTACAGAGACTTCATCTACGTTAGCTTTCACAACCAGGTACTTCGACTCAGGGCAAATCTCAAGTGAGATCCTATTCCCCATTAATGTGCGACCTTTGGCCAGTACTGAATTCTCTACTGATAAATATAACCCTGTGTGTTCCAGATCTATGAGATTCCATTCTTTGTGGCTCTGGACCATAAGAGCGAGGCTGTACTGGTGGCTGTCAGAGGAACACTGTCACTCCGGGTGAGACTCCTCCATCACTCCGTTCCACCTGTCTATCTATTGATCTCTATCTCTCACTTACTCACTCATTCATGTACATTTCTGTGTAGGATTTGCTGACTGATCTGTCTGCAAACTGTGAGAACCTCCCAGTAGAGGGAACATGCTATGCTCACAAGGTGGGTGTAATAATCACATTACTTCATCTATCAGAACATTCTTTATTTGTAGATATGAGCTGTAACCTCTGTTTGTGTTTCACAGGGCATGTCTCAGGCAGCCTGCTACATCTATAAGAAACTCCTCAAAGATGGCATTCTAAACCAGGCTTTCACCATCGCACCTGTAAGACTCCTTACCTGTCCTCTCTCCGAAAAAGTACATTGGTTGTAACCTTAAAAGCACTAACTGTGTGTGTGTGTGTGTGTGTGTGTTTTCAGGAGGGGGTACAGCCTCTCTCCTGGCCATTTTATTACGTTGCTCCTTCCCCACCCTGCAGTGTTACACCTTATCTCCACCAGGGGGACTCATGAGGTACCAACACACATACAAATAATTAATGCTTAGCATTACATCAAGTGAGGATTTAAGTTTGTGTAATGTAGATAAATCAAATTTAATCCAATCCAATTTTATTTGTCACATGCGCCGAATACAACAGGTGTAGACCTTACCGTGAAATGCTTACTTACAAGCCCTTAACCAACAATGCAGTTCAAGAAATAGAGTTAAGAAAATATTTACTAAATAGACTAAAGTAAAAAATAAAAAGTAACACAATAAAATTACATAACAATAACGAGGCTAGATACAGGGGGTACAAGTACTGAGTCAATGTGCAGGGGGACAGGTTAGTCTAGGTCATTTGTGTAGGTTGGGGTAAAGTGACTATGCATAGATAATAAACAGAGAGTAGCAGCAGTGTAAAAACAAAGTGGGGGGGGGTCAATGTAAATAGTCCGGGTGTCCATTTGATTAATTGTTCAGCAGTCTTATAGCTTAGGGGTAGAAGCTGTTAAGGAGCCTTTTGGACCTAGACTTGGCACTCCGGTACCGCTTGCCGTGCGGTAGCAGAGAGAACAGTCTATGATTTGGGTGACTGGAGTGTTTGACAATTTTTTGGGCCTTTTTTGGACACTGCTTAGTATATAGGTCCTGGATGGCAGGAAGCTTGGCCCCAGTGATGTATTGGGCCATACGCACTACCCTCTGTAGTGCTTTATGGTCGGATGCTGAGCAGTTGCCAAACCAGGCGGTGATGCAACCGGTCAGGAGGCTCTCGATGGTGCAGCTGTAGAACTTTTTGAGGATCTGGGGACCCATGCAAAATCTTTTCGTAGTATTATTCAGATTGATTTCCCTCTGTGCTCCCTCTGCAGTAAAGCCCTGGCGGAATATTCCAAAGACTTTGTGGTGTCTGTGGTGTTGGAGAAGGACTTGGTGACGAGGAGAGGAGCCACTTTAGACTATTGAGATGTCTCCTGTCATGTGCTCTGTGCTCTCATGTTTATCTCAGACAAATGGATCCCCTGAAACAAACTGTGTTCTATTAATGAGTTTCTGTTATGAGTTTTCTCTCCTCAAGTGCTTGTTCTGTGTTTGGTTGAAAGCCCAAATTTCATTCATTTTTCCTCTCTCTCCACCCCCACCTCTCTCAGGTTGAGTTATCCCAACATGGAGGACTTGAAAAGGAGAATACTAAAAATGGTTTCTAATTGCAATAAGCCCAAGGTGAGAACATTATCATTCAAACCCGAAATTGAGTTTATAAATCAAATAATTTGGGCAGAATCCTAACTTTGGAGAGGGACCCTGATGACTTCTCTCTCTCTCTTGCTCTCTCCCTCTCCTTCAGTACCGTATCCTGCTCCAGGGCTGTTGGTATGAGTTGTTTGGGGGAGATCCTGATGACTTCCCTACTGAGATGGACAACAGACGGGAGGAGGAACTCATCCAGCCGCTCCTGGGGGAGGAGACACTGCTGATTCACGGCTCCTCATCCTATCAAAGCCTAGCTTCCGAGGACTCGCCGGTACACTGCGCCCACCTGCCACTTTATTTACCGGGACGTATACTGCACATTACAGAGGACGGGCCGTCACGGAGGTGTGTATGGCACACACAAACTACATTACATCCATGTCTGCCTTTGTCATTGACCAAAGTTTTTGTCCTCCACTTTTTATTTCCCTTCCTTCCCTCCTTCATCGCTTCTCCAGGTCCTGTTTTTCCCAGGTTCATTACCGGGCGGAGTGGTCCAGTGAGACAGCGTTCCGGAGTGTTCTCATCAGTCCAAGGATGATCGCCGACCACATGCCTGATGCTGTACTCCGGTCTCTCCACAGTCTGACGCAGGACTTTCAACCTCTGCCCCTCGTCGCTTAGCAACAGCCACCTCAATGTCATCTGAGTCACACTGCTACACACAGACACACCTGGACTGGGCGAGCCTGACTGTCTGTCGCAAGGCTGTCCCCATTCTGTCCCCAGTCCTTCGGTTCCAGTCTCATCTCTTCCCGCCCCTGTCCACTGTCTCAAGTCTCAAGTCTTCTATCCCTACTCCATGACCGGGGGGAACTCAACAGCCAAGACAAAGGGACAAGACAATTGGACTCATCGATAAAAGGACTGTGCAGGACCGTCTTTCTCAGTAGGACTTTGGGAAGGGGGTTGTAATTTGATTCTTTATTTATGTAGTAATCATTTGTTGCCATTTCATTGGTTATTGCTATCTTTTTTTGAGTAATTCCATGAAGAACTGTCATTGTGTCCTTATCATCCATTGTGCCCTGTGTACATACTTAGATAGCATTGCAGTGTTACTGTAATTCCAAAAGTGTACATTCAGATTATTATTTATTGATTGTGTAACTATGCTTTGTCTTTGTCCTGTTTTGAATGTCTGAGACTTGGAAAATCGCTCGAGGTAGAAGTCGTCCTGGACCACAGATCTAAGATCAGATGATCCCCCCCCCCCCCCCCCCCCCAAAAAAAAAAAAAAATCAGGGTGAATAGGGCCTACAGTGAGGGAAAAAGTATTTGATCCCCTGCTGATTTTGTACGTTTGCCCACTGACAAAGACATGATCAGTCTATAATTTTAATGGTAGGTTTATTTGAACAGTGAGAGACAGAATAACAACAAAAACATCCAGAAAAACGCATGTAAAAAATGTTATGAATTGATTTGCATTTTAATGAGGGAAAAAAGTATTTGACCCCTCTGCAAAAGATTACTTAGTACTTGGTGGCAAAACCCTTGTTGGCAATCACAGAGGTCAGACGTTTCTTGTAGTTGGCCTCCAGGTTTGCACACATCTCAGAAGGGATTTTGTTCCACTCCTCTTTGCAGATCTTCTCCAAGTCATTAAGGTTTCGAGGCTGACGTTTGGCAACTCGAACCTTCAGCTCCCTCCACAGATTTTCTATGGGATTAAGTCATTGTCATGCTGGAATACCCATCACCCAAGATTTGACGGTACATGGCCCCGTCCATCGTCCCTTTGATGCGGTGAAGTTGTCCCTTAGCAGAAAAACACCCCCAAAGCATAACGTTTACGGTGGGGATGGTGTTCTTGGGGTCATAGGCAGCATTCCTCCTCCTCCAAACACGGCGAGTTGAGTTGATGCCAAAGAGCTCGATTTTGGTCTCATCTGACCACAACACTTTCACCCAGTTCTCCTCTGAATCATTCAGATGTTCATTGGCAAACTTCAGACGGGCCTGTATATGTGCTTTCTTGAGCAGGGGGATCTTGCTCCCCAGGCCGAGGGAGATTGACAGTTCTTTTGTGTTTCTTCCATTTGCGAATAATCGCACCAACTGTTGTCACCTTCTCACCAAGCTGCTTGGCGATGGTCTTGTAGCCCATTCCAGCCTTGTGTAGGTCTACAATCTTGTCCCTGACATCCTTGGAGAGCTCTTTGGTCTTGGCCATGGTGGAGAGTTTGGAATGTGATTGATTGATTGCTTCTGTGGACAGGTGTCTTTTATACAGGTAACAAACTGAGATTAGGAGCACTCCCTTTAAGAGTGTGCTCCTAATCTCAGCTCGAACCTGTATAAAAGACACCTGGGAGCCAGAAAGCTTTCTGATTGAGAGGGGGTCAAATACTTATTTCCCTCCTTAAAATGCAAATCAATTTATAACATTTTTGACATGCGTTTTTCTGGATTCTTTCGTTGTTATTCTGTGTCTCACTGTTCAAATAAACCTACCATTAAAATTATAGACTGATAATTTATTTGTCAGTGGGCAAACGTACAAAATCAGCAGGGGATCAAATACTTTTTTCCCTCACTGTATGCCTCGCAGAACAAGTCTCACCAATACTCCCAATGCTCGACCAGCGTTTTGTTTTGCCCCATATATGCAAAATGAGTAGTGTATGAAACAAATGAGTTAATTGGCATGAAAACAATTTCTGGGTGATATGAGGTAGCCAAAATTACTCCAGTTTCATAACAAATTTTCTGTTAACATGCCATATACATAATTTATTAGGTAATTAAACATTGATAAAGGAAAGTCAAAGTAATGTAATGGTTTACATCTTGAATCGTGTATTTGTGATGACAGACTCATGAGACAAATTTAAAAAACGTGTCACTAGTCACTGCAGTTATTAAACATTGCAAAGTCCCCAAGCAATTTTTAGAGACTGCCTGTTGAGTTAAAGCCAAAGTACAATGATGAGGCACATTTAATAAAGTTGGAAAATTAGAAATATTAACACTGTTGATGTGGACAGTGATATTGAATGAAAAACACTCAAAACGGATTAGCGGTCCATTTTCTCCCTAGATCCCTCCCAGGCCTCTTATAGCACGTGACGTCAGCCTGACGGGCCAGTCATCAACAAGAACACAGAAGCTCATCTGTTGGGAAGTCGGGAGGAGAACTGTAAAAACCGGAGCAAAGTAGAGACTTTTCTATTTATAAGTCAACCTTCCATAGGAGAAAGGGACCGCAACTTGTTGAAAGTCCTTTATTTTTCTCTTTTAAAAAAGCAGCTAACGGTAGCTTGGTTAGCTATATTTAAGGGACACTATTTGGTCTCGCTGCATAATAAATATAAGGCAGGTTGCTGCTGGCAGGCTTTCCCAAGTAGCTTTTTCCTCGGCTAACCTGCTAGTTTGCGAGAAGAAAAGGAGGCAAGAAAATGGAGTTGGACGATGGAGTTCTCTACCAGGACGACTCTGGCAGTTCGGCGATGATGTCCGAACGGGTGTCGGGTCTGGCGAGCTCCATTTACCGCGAGTTTGAACGGTTGATCAGTCAGTACGACGAGGACGTTGTGAAAGAACTCATGCCGCTCGTCGTTGCGGTGTTGGAGAACTTGGACGCGGTGTTCGCGGAGAACCAGGAGCACGAAGTCGAGTTGGAGCTCCTAAAAGAAGACAATGAACAACTTGTTACCCAGTATGAACGGGAGAAATCGCTCAGAAAATCTGCAGAAGAGGTGGGTTTGAGTCCTCGACTGTCAGAGAAAGGGGGAGAGAATGACTACTCTCGCAGACAGACCACGAAGCTGATCGAAAAGATGGGCTTGCTACCGCTAGGCCACTCAAGCTAGTTTTGACAGTTCAAGCGCAAGTAATGTTCCACAACAAGCACAGACTGTAGCTAGTATTCCCATGGGGGTAACTTGCACATAACAGGGCCTGTTGCTTGTGAGAACTTGCAAACAGTTATGTATGGACTAGATTGCTTGCTAGCTTTAAACCCCGATAGTCATTGTTGGTAGGCTGCACAGGCTAATCTTATAAAGCTATAGCATTCTGAAGCTAGCAGGATATGTCATCTGGTTGCAACAGCTGATGACAAGGTTACATAGTAGTCATTTGGCACTGTTGCTATTATTGTGGCTGGTGACACATTACTTCAGTAATTTGCATCATGGGTGGTTTTGTATGCTAATTTTTTTGTAGACTAATTTGATGCCCGCTGTCCAAACTGGATGCAAACTCCTGCAGTCATGCATTAGTCAGCATACAAATGGAGCTACACCCAAAGGGAATGATGCTGACAGTATTTTCCAGACCTGTCAGTGTTTCTCAAATAATGGGTCAGGACCCAGTCGTGGGTCGCTCACCGCTCTAGATAGTTTGAATCTAGCTTTCTGGCTAAAAACATTTGTCTGGTTAACTTGGTAGAGTCAGACCGACCGTAAGAGCAGTTGCCAAATGAGATTTGGCCCTCCTATCCAAACCCCAAATCCAAAACAGGAGTGACATTGGAAGTTGGAACTCCACCTTGTCTCTTTCCTCTCTCTCCTGCTGCAACTGAACAGTTGTTTGTGTTTGTTCTGCCGCCACACATGGCAGTCCCTCTCTTTTGCTCCCTCTCTCTCTTTCTCCCCCATCCCACTGCCTTTCACCCACTAGGCCAGGGGTGCTCAACTACTATTTGAGAAGATGCAGTGACACAAATGTCCTAGTTGGCAAAGGTCCGGATGGATATTGTCCTTTATCGGCGCTGTGTTACAGCGTAGGAACAAACATAGTCGTCTACGATTTAGCAAACATGTTGTTATATAAAATGTACATTAAATACTTTAAATTAGACTAAGAATTTGAATTAATTACAACTTTCTTTTGAATGTAAACATGTGCAACATTGCATCAACATTGCTGAAGAACAAAGGTGGTTGCATAATTGTCTAGGTGAACCATTGTACATGGGCCTTAAATAAAAAAATATCTAAATGAAATAAAGTGCATGTTTTCTGGAGAACAAAGGAGAGTTGAACCAAAATAATAATCTGAATGCACAGAACGTAACTGTGGGCCATGCAATATTCATGTATAAGTCACTCTGGGCCTTGCCCTTGCATCAATGAGATAAATTACACTTTGTTTCCTGCCAATGCTTTGAACTTTGGCTCAAATGGTGTGGAAGCAACTCTGAGACACTGGTGCAGGTGTTCATTGGTGAGCCTGGTGCGGTATTTGTTTTTAACAAAGTTCATTGTGGAGAAGGCTGATTCCGGATGTATAGTGCCAGTTTCTTGAGAACAGGGACATCAGCTGCTGGCACCATCTTTCCCCAGAAAGTGACAGGGTCACAATCACCAGCCTGCTCCTTCAAAGCCACATTTTCTTGCAGCTCAATCAACTCCATTTGCAGTGATGCAACATATACCCATCTGAAGATCTGTTTTGCTTCTTCTGACAACTTTGTCAGATTTGTGACCAAGAAGTGGTTCTGGATGAGCAGTAGCAGTTCTCTTCCAACAGTGAAGTCATCAAAGCGAGCCTTGAAGTTATCCATCAGCTTCTGGATGAAATCAACATGGTAGGGAACGTCTTTGTCTCCCTGCATTTGCACCAGAAGATTGGAGAAGTGGACAAGTTCTCCCTGGAGGTCATACTTGAAAAGC